GAATGTTGAAAATATTTTGAGTGTTGAAAATATTTTTTATCTCTGCTATTTTCTTTCGACTTTATTCAATATTCATTGGTTATTTATGAACCTCTACTAAAGATAGCTTTAAAATATTTCGCTGAATATCCGAATTCTTCTATATCCTGGGATATAGACGGACATTTGGTTGGATATCCACAGAATATATTCTGTGGATATCTCTGGGATTTCTTGTATTGTCTGGAAGATACTCATTAGATATTTTGCTGGATATCCATATGATATCTTCTATATTCTGGATATAGACGAACATTTGGATATCCATATTAGATTCACGGAATATTTCTGATATCCTGTGGATATATTGGATATCCACAAAAGATATTCTAGCCAAAGTATTTTGCACCGTATTAGAGCTTTAATACAATGCGAATTTTTTTCAGCATAAATTTTATCATACATTTAAGGCACTTGTAAGTTGTTGTAACTTAAGAACATTTTATTAATACGAAATAACACAACATTTCAAAATATTAGTTGTAACATTATGGCTTACCTACTCTATTTGTCAGACTATTAGAAGAGAAGGAGATACAATTTTTCGTAAATGTTTGTTTTTATGTGAAAAATAAGCATACGAACAAAAAAACTATACTAGACAAGAAATCCTTTCAAACAAGGTCACATGTATTTATAATTTAAACGAAACAAAATGTATAAAAACTCACCTTTTGTTAGTTCTTACAAATACTTTTAAAAGTTTATTAACGTCGAAATTATAGTCACTATTATAAATCGCCTATTATTTAAACAAAAAATATTGTTATTCACTGTGATAATAATTATAATAATATTAATAATTAATATGTTAGCACGTCTCAAATAAGTCAACTTGAAACACTCTGACATAAATAATAACTCGAATATGAAACAAAAACACCTTAACTACAGAGTAAACAAGCTTATGCGCATGCGTTTTAAGATAAGGTGTTTGAAGTTAACACGCTATTTAAATTCGGTGCAGTTGAGGCTTTCTCTCGGCAAGTTGAGGCGTTTTAGAGTAATATTTGTAGATAGGGCAGTCTTACATCACAAAGATGTGAGTTTTGCAGTTAAGGTAAAGTTTATTTGGCTATTTATATCCAAACTAAAGCAAGATAAGGCGTTTTTGCTTCACATTTAGGTAGAAAATTGCTTGATCTTTCATATTGCACACATATCTCGATTTTGAAAAAAAATGTAGTTAAGGCGTTTTTCGTTAACACGGCAGTATTGTTTTCAAATTCATTTGGAAATAAAATTAAATGCAATTAAACTGCCACCTTAAACATTGATAAATGTAAATTAAACGGACATTTAGCATGTTGGTTTCTTGACATAGATTTTGAGTGATAACTTACGTTTGTTGGTGACGGCGATATCTTGTTTCTGTTGAGGTGTGAGTGATAGTCTTTTGTCGTCAAGAGGCAGGTGTGGCGGAGGCGGCAGCTGAAAATAAAAAAACAAAAATGATCGATCGGAACTATTAGGATGCATAAAGATCAGCTGAAATGTATTTTAGAAGGAACGAATTTTAAATATCGGATGATTTTGTTTGACTAGGGCCTTTGAAAAATAGATTGTCAAAAGATATTTCAATTAAATTTAAACAATCATTTTAGTAGTTTGTGTAATAAGTGAAGAGAAACGACACTTTTCGCACGAGTGTAGAGAAATTGACTAGAGGCATCAAACGAGTGTCACAACTTAAGCGAGTGGTAAAAGAGTTTTTTGTAGGTGTTGCATACTTAATTTTTTCTACGACTAAACGATTCGTAAATATATAGATACTGGTTTTTAAAGGAACAATTTTTTATTTTTTTATATTTTTGATTCATATTAATAATTAAATCGAGTTTAAACAATAAATAAAAAGTTATCACGGTTAGGTCTTCTGTATCTGTAACGTTTGGAGAGAGGGTTAACCCACGGCACTAAGGCCTCATTAGGTCCATTGTGCATCCTTCTAAGTAGATAAGCAACTCCTAGCTCGTGAGCCAACCTACAGATTTAATGTATAGTAGATTCGTGATCTAACAGGAGTAATAAATCTGTCAAATCAGGAAATTTTAGGTGTAGGTGCCTATATTATTATTTACGGGGTACATATGTTATGTTATATTGAGAATGGGGTGTTAATACACTGTGACCTAAAAGATCTATTGTGCCCCCTTCTGTCGCCACTGCACTAAGGAAATGTCTCAATGCCTATAGCGACCCTTCCAATCCTATTTTCTCAAGGAAGTGTAGGATTTGAAGTGGCTTTAAATTAGTTAAATCTCCCTCTTCTATTTGATATCCTCCTAGATATAGTGCCCTTGGATTCTGAAAAGCTACACATTCAGTTAGGATGTGAATGGAGGTTTCGTCCTCCTCACGGAATATGCACTCACTAGCCTCTACTACTCTCAGTTTACTTAGGTATCCTTTTAGTCGGCAAGCTCAATCAATTGTTCTAGGCATCTTCAGACCATTTTTGAGCTGATTACGCAAGAGCTCAGCGCTTTGATGGCTGCTTGACTATCGGACATGATGATAATCTCTTGTCTATGATAGTTTCTCTCGATGTTAAACTGGATACACTTCTCGATGGCGTGAATTTCCGCCTGGAAGATGCCTGGGTATTTTATCAAGCTTTCGGAGTGCTTGGTTCTCGGCCCATACACTCCTATTCCAGTTTCTTCTATGGTTTTGGAACCGTTTGTATACCACTGAATAGCACGTCTTTCGGTTGCAAGCGCGATGGATTCTTGGCTCCATTCTTTCTTGCAGTCCAGCTCTGTGGTTTTGAAGTTTTTCACAAAACTGTACGTCTTTTACATTTCATCCTGGGGCATGTCCCAGGTATCTTTAGTCCTGAAGCAAGTAGACTTTCGTCGGATTACTCCGTTCCTGATCATTCTATATCGTGTCCTTTTTGCCACATTCTCTATCATCAAATGTAGAGGGGCGAGGTTTAAGATCACCTCCTTTGCGGCCGTGGGACAGGTTCTCATTGCACCAGTAATGCAAACACAGGCTAGTCTTTGTACTTTTGAGATATTAGCTCTCGTAGTAGCTAAACTAGTTCTGTTACTCCAGGCTATAGCCCCGTAAGTGATGATTCGTCTCACTATTGCAGTATACATCCATCGCAGTATGTTTGGGTTACATCCCCATCGTTTACCTGCAATGTTTCTGCATACCATTAGGGCTTTTGTGGCCTTATTTACTACTTCCTTCTCATGTATGTTTTAGAGAAGTTTGTTGTCCAGGGTTAGGCCTAGATATTTGACTTCATTTTTCCATTCTATATCTATCCCGCCTAATTTAACGGTTTTGAGATTAAGTTTTCTTTTCCTTGAAAAGGCTACTAGTATTGTTTTTGTAGGGTTTATACTAAGTCCCACTTCACGGCACCATCTTTTGGTATGTTCTAGTCCTCGTTGGATATTACTAAACTTGCCACTAGCAAATATGACTATGTCGTCGGCATAACCTTGACAGGGTATCAAATCTGGAATCACCGTATCCCAAAATAGGTGTACCTCAAATTTTGTACAATTAGGACTAGCAATTTACGAGATAATTGGCCGTTTCCAGACTTTTGGGCCACTCTGTATATCAGGAAGTGTATTGTAAATTTTTAATCGTAGATATTGGAAGTTTCGTTGGAATGTTTGTTGTAATAAATAGTTGTGTTCGATTTATTGTTTGGTATGCATGTTAAATGGGTAATAGTAACTGCTTATTTTTATGTATATTTACCATTATAGCAATTGTAAATAGTTGTCTTATATCTAGGACTGCAGATTCTATAAATAATTCGTCTGATGGGTGTGATACTTTTTTGTTATCTATTATTTTTAATATTTTTTTTTTTGGATAATGTTTAATGGTTGTAATTAGGTGATAGAGACTTTACCCCATGCGAGAAATCGTAAACGTGATTCCACTAGTAAATAATATACGATTTTTAGATGCTATATATTATATCAAGTATAGATTTTAAGTAGCGAAATTTATATAATAAATACCTTAAGGTATTACAGATTTCTTTTACATGTTAATCCCAGCGTAAATGGGAATCATTGTTAATCCTAGATATCGTATACTGTGGGCTCTGTTTATAACGAGATTTTTTATTTTTAATGAATTATAATTCAGCAAACCATTTTTATAACTAGCAAAAGGAACGAAAAATGTTTTTTGAACATTTACCGTAAGTAACTTGTGACTAAATACATCTATAATTTTTACTAAATGGTTTTCTATTTTAACCTTTAGGTCAGTCCAGGTTTCATACAGCAGAATATAAGATGGCAGTATCATCCGCAAAACTTATGATATTACCGTTTGTATGGTAGGTTAGTACATTATTTATGTATAGTATAAATAAAAAAGGTCCTATTACGGTACCTTGTGGTATACCAAAATTTATTTCTTTTTTACTACTTACCTCTTCGTCTATCCTGACTGCTTGATTTCTACCTAACAAATAGCTCTGCATTAAATCATGAACTTTCCCACGTACTCCTGCATTCTCCAGAACATTCAACAGTTGTGTGGCTAACCGTGTCAAATGCCTTGGCTAGATCCAGAAATACGCAAGCTGTTGGAGTGCTTGCATCAATAATGCCATGGAAAACCCAAAATGATAACAAGGGGGTGGGATTATGAGATGGTTACCTACATAGGGTTTGGTATGAAGATAAGATAGGCAGTTGCAGTTAGTATCTTAATCAGTTCCCAATATTACCTACCCTGTTTGATCAGACTTCTATATTATCTATTATATTAAGAAGTTATGGTTATTTTAGGTTAATAGAGACAGTAGTATTGAAAAATACAATGTAGTTCAAGTTCAAAATTTATAACTGTAAAACGTATAAAAAGTGTGCGTTGTTAGTTAACGAAAAAATATTTGTAAGCAATGTTTATAATTGCCTAAGAATAGAAAATCCTTCGTTTTCGATTGACGATTCTATTGAAAAGATGATATGATGGGTGTAAGTAAATCAACGATATATAAAGTTATAAGAGAATTAAAAAGTGGAGTTGTTAAACCCCCAAAGAAAATAGCAGAAGGTAAGAAAAAAGTGAAATTAACTGAACAAATTCATAGCGAAATAAGAAGAACAAATCACGAATTTTGCCAAGGTTTTGGATGCAATCAATAGTGTTCTGTATTTTTCTAAACTTTTATATGGGCTATTTTAAATTTAAAAAAGAGCAGAGGTGAATACCCTACGATGTTTTTCCCTATTTATATCTCTTTGAAGTAATTCTATCAGCTGCGGAGGAATTTGCCTAAACAGCTTCAAATCGCCTGCATACAATAGAAATTTGAATGCTTAATATTATCACTTATTTCATTGATAAAAATGACAAATAGTAGTGGTCCCAGAATCGATTCTTGTACACCAGATTTCGCTATGTCCAATCAAAACTTAAAATGAAAATTGCGCCTCCACCTCGACTAATGAGACTGGATAATCAATACAATTTAGATATCAATGAATTTTCAATTAGTCAAAAGGGCATATACCCTTTTACAGAAAAAATATATATTAATAATAAATCTTTAATGGTCCTTTTTGATCACTATACAATGATGTAGGATATGTCAAGATACATGTAGTGGACAAAACACAATTTAAAATCTTTAAATATACATATACATAAACACGCACAAACACGTACGCACGCACGCACACGTACGCACGCGCGCACACATACATATATATTACGTTACCTAGTAATAATCCTTGATATTATAAAAAAAAAAATTTCACTAAAAATATTTTAGTATATCAGTAAATAATGACTTACCAAGTGAATATAGTGATTCAGAGACTTTCACGTTTCCTAATCTTCGAGAGTAGGTAAGCATATCTATTTTATTTTTACATGTTATAATCATAGCACCCCGGCGGTTAAATTGCAATTATTTAAGTTTAAAATAGTAACAAAAAAAATTAATACAAACAAATACAACGTAATTAACACAATCGTGCACTCATCAGAGTTTATGTTCCACAAAACCGGGCGGCACAGGTAAAATTCTTAATGAAACTACAGTTTATAGCTAAAGAATCAGTTCGCTCACTCTGCGTCGGTACTTTTGATCTCAATGTTCCAGTTTATACACTGCGCAACTTGGATTTGTATCCCTGGCGCATACATAATCAAATCATAACCAATAAAATATATGATAACCGCCTATATTCAAACAGCATTCTTCTGCGCATCCTGAATTTGTATCCCTGGAGTGGATGTTATTTTGGAACATCCAACTGACCCGAGTGGGGGATGGGACGTTCCGCCGTCGCCGTTTCGCCATAACCGTTCCACCGTCGCCGTTTCGCCGTCGAGCCAATTCGCCGTCGCCGTTTCGCCGTCGAGCAAGTTCGCCGGCGGCCATTTCGTCATCATTCATTAAAAATGACTGTGATGTTCAGTTTAAGAAAGAGCTTTTGTCAATATTATTTACTAATCAAAAAATTCCATATTTATTTATTTTTTTTTATATGCAGGACGACACATTTTTCCGCGTTTAAAGGAAGCAGCCGAATGTCACACCAGTTTGAAATAGTTTCAAGGTCTTTTTTGTAGCTGGGTAGAATCTGTCACAGGATTAGAGTATAGCTTAGTGTCATCAGCATAACACGAAATATTAGAATTTAAGTCTTTGCCTAGATCTGCAGCGTATACCAAGAATAGTAATGGCCCTATGACAGAGCCTTGAGGGACACCACTTAGAACTGGATACTCTGACGAAAACATCTGTCCAACTTTTACCTTGAAGATGCGATTTGACAATCACTTATCCAGAGAAGTAAAGAGCCGCGAATGCCAGCTTTTTCCAACTCATAAAGCAATCTCTTTTTGGGAACACGATCAAAGGCTTTAGCGAAATCAAGATATACGACATCGACAGGCTCTTTATTGTCCACAGATGTAGTCCAATCGTTTAAACAGGTCATTAGGTTTGTTAATGTGGATCGGCCTTTAATAAAACCGTGTTGTTCTTTTGGCAAGACGTCATTGCTCTTGAGAAAATCAGACATATAATTGGTTAAGAAAATAAAAATAATAATTTCCTTAAAAAAAAATAAAATGGTGGGCAGTACCACCCTTTGCACAATTTCTTTCCTACTAAAGGAAGCAACCGGTTTGAGTAGTAAGAGAAAAATTCTACAACAGTAAAATTAAATATAATTTGAACTATAATTATTAAAAAATAAAAATAATAATTTTCTCTAAAAAAAACGGTAGTTCTGGTTATTATTTTCCCTCTGAAATTTTCTCTTTCGGTGATTAAGTATAAACGGCGGTGAACTGTATCACTCTGCACTCATGAAAGGAAAAGAACTGATGCACTTGTAAGAATATTAGTTAATATCCTCCCCGCAATTATTACTTTACACCAGGCACAATAGCCCCAAATAATAAATGAATTGAAGACGGGATCGTCCGACCAATACTTTAGGGAACAGTGACGGTTTTTTTTTATTATTCGGTTTAAAGTCTCCCTTATGTAGACATCTGATAGTCCATAGTTTCTACAAGAGATAAACCCTTTCCACGAGCTGCTATAAAGACTAGGGGCTAAAACAGCTCTGATTATCGACGGGGGGGGGGGGGGGGGGGGGTCAAGCGAAAATGGATGAAGGAAGGGTGCGAGTGCCCCCAAATTTAAATCCAATTTACTTTATTACCCTGACAGGTAACTAAGGAAATTAAAAGTACAGGTCGAATTCCTTAAGTAGACAATGTAAACGGAAAATGAATGTTGCAGGGAGAATTATTGGACGGAATTTTAAAGTGTCTACCTTGATAAAGTCCTTACAACGGTTTTTGGTGCCCGAATGTGAATTGCGAAAATCGGTCTCGAACGGCAAATCTACTCTGAAGCACAGTATAACGTAAATCGCGGTGTAGAACTCACAGTCAACAAAAGCCGGGACGAGAGAGAGAGTGCTCCCATCGAAAACGTCTGTTTTTATCAAAAGTTGGACTTTTTGCCACAGTGGGGACGCTAGTTCCTACTCCTTTGTTATTAGTTGTTTTGCAGAAAACGTTGGTTGATCGGCATACTGATAAACCTACCAGAATTGAGATTTTAAGACATGATTTAATCTATGGTGATAATGAAAAGTTTTAAACTACGAGGGCTCTTACAAAGGTTTAAAAACGGTAATTCTATGGAAATGGAAATGGAAATTCGTTTTAAAAATTAATTTAGGGAATAAATTAATGGAAATTTTAGTTACTTCGTCACAGCTTCGTGACATTCTAATACTAACCCTGAGTAAATTCGTTGTCTGTCCAGGGTGAGTACTTCTGATTTGCTACCTGTATCTTTCTAGTGATTTTATTTCTGGTGATTTCTATTGCCTCTATGAGAATCCCCGTAAGCTTAGTTTAAACTACTCTGGCACTATTGCTCATACAGCATTGTTAATAAGCAATGTATGCTTTATTTACTCTGTTTACTAGGTATGAGTTCCATGCTAACTTGCTGTCAAAGATGAGACCTAGGTACTTTTCTTCTGTTGCAAAGTTTAGTTTTGTGTTTAGGAGCTCTAGAGGTTTTAATTCCAAGTTCATCTTTTTCCTTGTGAAAAGGAACATTTCTATCTTATTGGGATTGATAGACGGTGAATGGTCCTTGTATCACTGTTTTATAATTTTGAGAGCTACTTGTATTCTTTCGCAGAGTATTTTCTCAAAATTACCTGTTTGCAGAATTATCAGGTCATCTGAATAAGCTATTGTGTAGTGAGTGTCATTATTGAAGCGGCTGATAAGGGTGTCAAGGACCATGTTTCACAGTGGAGGTGATAGCGCCCTTCCCTATGGACTAGTAACCAGTACTTTCCATCTGTTGAATATTCCTCTTGGTTAGTACGTATTGTCTTGGAAAAGGTCGTCTTATCAAAAGTGCCTTCTATGTCTATAAAAATACCCAAGGTGGACTCTTCATAGTCCACGTATCTCTTTATCCGGCCAACAACTAGGTGAAGGCCTGAGTCAGTAGATCTGCCTGGGGTCTTGAACTACATGGTTTATTATTAAGTGATTGCAAACTGCTGCTATATGCACTGGATAATATACCAACGATAACCCTCACAAAAAGTAATTTTATTGAGCAATATGACTATTCATTGCGTTACTTTTGATTTTAGCGCGCTATAGCGGGACACAAAACTGTTACGTATTTTAAAGTGTTACACTTCAGTTGAAAGATAATTTTATTAGTAATTCAATGCACAATATAACAAATTATAAGCATTATAAATTAATAAGTAAGCGGCGACGAAAATTAAATTTTCTAAAGCATTCTCTGTAAAAATATATTATCGAATTTGACCATAAAAAGATTCATGTCTTGATCAACACTTAGACCCAAAGTATTCAGACTTACTTATGTAAAATGGATAACTGTGTCTTCCAATATAAATTATAAGTTGACCCCTGGTATAATATTGTTAACAAAAAAAAAAAAGAACAGTTACTTATAAAATGAAAGAAACAATTTTTTTCTATTGGAATATGTTCAAAATGTAATGTATGAAGTAATTTTCATCAAAGTCAAACAGATTAAAAGTTCTAGCTTTATTAAAGTTTAATGCATAAAATAAATGCCATTATATGAAACATTTTATTTTACCTCTAGATTCGCAATTACTACGCCTGAAAACACAAAAATAATTCGATAGATTATAATTAAATTTTAATTACTTACACGCGTATTTCTGAGAAAGAAATAACTGTAAATTGTGGAAAATTCATTTTACCTATAAAATTAATCTAATTTTCATTTCCAATTAAATAAATTCTAGAAATAATTAATTAAATACATCGTATAATCTATAGGCCGTTTCATAAAAAAATATAGAGGGTCACGGATGATTACATGCGCAGTAACGAAATTTTGACTTGCTTATCTATGTTACCTAGCTTAGCAACGACCGCGCCAGTGAGACGCGGCTAAACAGTACGAGGTAAATAGTCCAACATGAAGTTGGCACTTGTAAGTAGTAAGTAAATAAATTCTTTATTTAGCTTTCAGCTAGTTATAA